GACAGGGACAGGGACAGGGCTGCGACAGGGACAGGGTCAGTGCTGCGACAGGGTCAGTGCTGCGACAGGGACAGGGACAGGGCTGGGACAGGGACAGGGCTGGGACAGGGATGGGACAGGGTCAGTGCTGCGACAGGGACAGGGACAGGGCTGGGACAGGGACAGGGACAAGGCTGGGACAGGGACAGGGACTGGGACAGGGCTGGGAGAGGGACAGGGACAGGGCTGGGACAGGGACAGTGCTGGGACTGGGACAGTGCTGGGGGATCCTGGGGACGGGGACAGTGCTGGGGACAGGGATAAGGACAGTTCTGGGACAGTGCTGGGGACAGGGACAGTGCCTGGGGACTCCTTGGGGACAGGGTCAGTGTTGGGACAGGGACAGTGCTGGGACAGGGACAATGCCTGGGGACTCCTTGGGGACAGGGACAGTACCTGGAGGTGTCTTGGGGACTCCTGGGGGCAGGGGCAGTGCCTCGGGGGCAGCAACATCTGGACTTTTCCCAGGTCCCCCTTAGGATTATTTATTCCATAGAGCAGTTTTTGTTGGAGTTTTGTTTTGAGTTTTGTTTTCCTCATTGCATTGGTCAGTGCTGGTTCTACTCAGAGCTCTGATTTTGGGTCTGGCAGCACTTTGTGACAGAGAAAAAGGAATTCCACGTTTCCCTGATGTTGTGAGCATGGACAGGGAAGTGACTCACCCAGGAGCTGATGCCAAGTCACCAGCAGCACTGGGAATAGTCTGGGAATAGAGGAATTACAGTTTTACTGTGGTGCCTCTTGCTTCCTTCACCAGCCTGTCTCTGCTGCTTTTAAAAAGAGCTGAACATTTCCTTGGAATCTGCAACCCCTGAGACAGAAAAAAAAAAAAAAGTTGTTTTCTCATTCTGTTAATGTGTTTGTAAACTCCAGAAGGATTCCCGTGAGTGCTCAGGGTCTGTGAATCCACAGTGGCATCTGCTGCTCTTTAATATTCATTGCAGTGGGGTTTTCCTCTCCTATCAGGGACTTTGTCCTTTGGTTTCTGTTTTGCCTTTTGCAGGGTGAAAAGTTAATCCAGGGATGAAAATTCTGCCCTCTGTGTGGTTTGGTTCTGTTCAGGTCCAGGCAGAGGGGGTGAAGCAGAGCTCTCACATCCTGCAGATTTTTTGTCTTCCAGCAGAAATGAGAGGGATGATGTGTTTGGTTGATTTTTCTCCCTTCCTTGTAGCATTTTATCCTGTTTATTCATTTCACCTGGAGCCTTCCTTGCTGATGCTGCTCCCCACCTGATGCCAGGCACATCCAGCAGGTTTTTTGGGGGCAGAACGTGGAAAACGTGGATCTTTGGGAGCAGCCCTTGTTGCCAGGGTGTTCCTGTTGCCATGGCTTTGGTGTGTGCGTGTGCCAGCCTGGGATTGGCTCCTTTGGGGAGAGATTCTTCAATCCCAGAGATTTTAAAAAACGTGACCTTCCCATGCACAGGGCCCAGTCCAGCTTTGAGGAGTCACTGCCTGGATTTTCCTCTGGATTTTCCCCTGGGAAAGGACGGGCTGGGTGCCAGGGGAGGTCAGACAGGAGAGGTGAGCAGCTCACCTGGCCCTCCACACCTGTGTGCTGTGACATTCCACAAAGCCAGCCTGGATGGAGCTTGTGGCAGCTTGGGAGTGGAGCTGGGTGATCTTTCAGCTCTCTTCCAAACCATTCTGTATTGTGGCACTTGGTGCCATGGTCTAGTTGAGGTGTTAGGGCATGGATTGGACTTTTGGATGATTTTGGAGATGTTTTCCAACCTGGTTATTCTGTGATTCTGTATTCCGTGATTTCTGGTGTTACTTCCTGAATAATCCACAGGGCTGTTGGTTGCTTTCCTGTCAGTGTTAATACAACAGCAGAAGAAATCAGAATTCATTTAGAAGTGGCAATAACACATATTTTTAAAGCAGGATCACTTCCTCGCTGTTCTAACCCTCCTCTCTACCCCTGGCAGGGATTTTTGCCTTCAAGTGCTCCCGAGCAGAGGAAATCTTCAACCTGCTGCAGGACCTGATGCAGTGCAACAGCATCAACGTGGTGGAGGAGCCCGTGGTGATCACCAGGAACAGCCACCCCTCGGACAGGGAGCTGGCCAGGAGCCCCCAGGGCCCCAGCAGTAAGAGCCTGGATTTGGGGACAGGACAGGGGACACAGGGCTGGGGGTGACATCTGCATGTGGACACGCACATTCACAGAGCTGGGGAATTCCAGCTTGGAAATTCCTTCCAGGCCTGGATTTCTCCTGGCTCTCAGCTCCATTCCCAGGCTGACAAGCTGACTGCAGCTTCAGTTAGGGAGGAGTCTCCCAGGGTGAGAACATGGTGACAAACAGAGTGGAATTCATCACCAACATTAACCCCTGGTGTCTGTCCCGTGGGACACATCCTGAGGTGCTGTCCCAAGGATGTTTTTCCCAATTGTCCAATGAGCTCCTGTCCTGTCCTGGCTGCACTGACACACTTTAAACACGGGCTGTCTGTACAATAAATTGGCCTTTTTTCCCCGAAAAAGTCCGTGTGTGCTGCTGTCCTTTCTCTCTCTTTTCAGTGCAGTCACCACATCTGCAGTGCCCCCACCAAACTGCCCCTGGCTCCCTGCCCTGTGTGCTCCTGTTTCAAGGTCCCTGTGTGAGACAGGGACACACAAAGCCCTTGCAGGCAGTCGGAGCTGTCACTCCTCGGCTGGGTGACACCCCACCACTGCCAAGCGGCCTCTCCTGAGCAGCACTTGTGAGGGTCAGGTGGTTTGTGCAGGAAGCCACATCTGGAATGGCTCCTTAGGTTTAAATTCCTTAGATTTAAATCCTTTAGATCCTTAGATTTAAAGGAGGGCCTGGCCCTTGTGTGTGTGCTCCAGCCCCTGGACAGGCTGGTTTTACCTTCCAGGGTGTCCAGAAGAGCCCAGCTCACTCTAAAAGTGTAATAATTCTATTCTGTACCAATTTAATGCTTCTCTGCCTTGATTCCCTCACAGGTCTGGGCTACACTGGACTTCCCAATGGATTTCACAGCTTCCCTGGAGAATCCCTGTCCTACCCTGCAGCCCGGCACCCCTCAGTGAGCAGCCTGAGACATTCCTCTGTGGGGGAAGATTCCACCCACCCCCTCCTGGGGCCTGAGGAGCAGGTAAAGCCACCCTAAACTCTGCTGGGTGCAGTTCTGGGTTTCCCTCACTCAAAGCTCAGGGGATGCTCACACCCTGTCACTCTTTCTATTCTCTTTCATTTTGCTCCTGGAGGCTCCTGCTCTTTGATACTTCACTAGAACTGATGCTCTGTCACAAAAATCTGAGCTGTGTCCTCACCCCACTGGTATTTGGGTGGCAGTTGCCTGCCAGCTGCCACACAACCCCTAAATTCTGACCCGTTTTATTTTTGTTTTTGAGGTTCAGCTCTTTGCTCGCAGTTGTAGAATTTTAAGATTCTTTTCCTACAAAACCCAGCTGGTCTGAGCCACCCCCTGGGAGGCCTGGGCAGGTGTGAGGGTTGTGGGCTCACCTGTGAGCCACTCGAGGAGACAGATGTGCATGGAGCATGACACAGAACCCCAGAATCACTGAGGTTGGAAAAGATTCCATCCAACCTGTGCCCGATCCCAGAGCACTCAGTGCCACGTCCAGGTGACACCTCCAGGGCTGGGGACTCCAAACCTCCCTGGGCAGCCCCTTCCAAAGCCTGAGCACCCTTTCCACGAGGAAATTCCTGCAGATCTCCATCCATGTGGACACGCAGCGTGTATCTGCAGTTGAAGTCTTTTTGTCTCTCCCAGCCCACAAAACCAAACTTTTACATTTTCCCTCCCAAAACCTTCCCAACTTCCAAAATATTTTTTGTTTTTCCTCATCAGCCACTGGCAAATTCCTCTCTCCTGCTGGTTTCTCAGCTGCTTTGCTCTGGTTCTGTGCTGTCTCCTCCTTTCACTGTCCCTCTGCTTCTCTCCTTGCAGTCCCACACCTACGTGAACACCGGCGAGCCGGAGCCGAGGGGCCGGCACTGTATGCACTCCTTGCCTGAAGCCCACCCTCCTTTCCCCCCTAGGAACCACAGCTGCTCCCTGGAAGACCGAAACCCCCAGGTCTTCCTGCAGCCAGGGGAGGTGAAATTCGTGCTGGCTCCCAGCTCCGGCTACCGCCGGCTGTGCCGGCACCCGCGGGAATGCCGGCCTCACCTCTGTCCCCCCAACAACAACAACAACGAGTGTCGGGAGGGGTGTCCGTCCCCACAGTGTGTCTATGAGAACCTCAACGGGCTGGTGGCCCCCAGCGGCTCGTCCCTGTGCCGGGCTGGCCGCTCCAAGGTGTGCCAGGAGGACGGGAGCTGCTCGCATCGGCGCTCGGCGCTGCTGCACTACGAGAACCTGCCGGCGCTGCCGCCGGTGTGGGAGCTGCAGCCGGCCCGGCACAGGGATGAGGATGCTGCCACGGCCCCCACACCATCCCCCAATGGTTTCTCTGAAGCCGGAGAGGAGGAGCCCCTGCAGAATTCCATGGGCTCGGAGAGCTCGGCCCTGCAGCCTCGCCGGCCGTTCCTGCCCCGAGCCCGGCGCAGCCGCCTGCCCAACGTCTTCAGCTTCGACTTCCCCCGGCCCTGCCCGGAGCCTCCACGGCAGCTCAACTACATCCAGGTGGAGCTGGAGCCTGAGCCCTGCAAGGGCCACCAGGACCCGCGGGTGGTGGCACCTCCTGCCAGCCCCGGTGCCCGCCGCACCGACTCGTACGCCGTGATCGACCTCAAGAAGACGGCGGCCATGTCCAGCCTGCAGCGGGCCCTGCCCAGGGACGATGGCACCTCGAGGAAAACGCGGCACAACAGCACTGACCTGCCCCTGTGAGGGCCCCAAGTGCCAGCCCCGTGTCGTGGCTTTGTCCCTGCCCTTCCCTGTGCTGTGTCCTGCCCCGTGTGGCTCCCACTCGCCGTTGCCTTCCCTGCTCGCCCATTCCTTGGGGGCCCGGCGTGGCTCCTGCAGCTCCTGCTGTTGAGGCTCGTCTGTCTTGTCTGTCTGTCCGTCCTCTTCCTCTCTGTGTCGCTCGTTTTTTAAAGCCTTGTGGGATGTTTGGTGACTCTGAGGGTTGAATTCCGGGAGCAGTGGCGTGGGCAGAGCCAGAGCTGGGCAGTGCCATGGGGGAGTGCTCCCAAAAGTTGCTGCTTCGGGAGCTCTGAGCAGATCCAGCCCCTTCCCCGTGGATTTGACACCTCCAGGAGGGCTCTGCAGTGAGGCCACTCCAGAGCTGGGGTTTTCCTTGTGGTTCCAGATGTGCCTGGACACGAGGGAGCTCACGCCGTGGCCTTTCCCCCCTCAGCTCACTGTTTGTTCCTGAAGCTTTTTCTCCTTCTGTCCCTGTCTCAGATTCAATTTCAATTGGGCAGCTGCAATTCAACGAGGAGGACACAGAGCCATGGGCACACACTGTGATTACAGAAACCTGATTGCCTAAATCCTTAAATTCCCTTCCCTGCTTTAGAAGAGGAGGGAAAGGCCACAACCATGAGGGAGATTGGAAGTTTGGTCTAGAGAACTTCACTTGTGCCATACCCTGCTTTTTTTATTTTTATTTTTTATTTTTAATGAGGGTTCTTTCTGGCAGCTGCTGAGAAGTGCCGTGGGTTTATTTATTTGTTTACTTATTTATTTATGAGCTGCTCCTTTGCATCCCAGTTCGTTGCCAAACTGGGGCTCGCTCCTGCCTTGGGGGGGGGGGGGTCCCAAAAGAGCTTGGTGGCTTTGCTGAGCCACCAACCGAGGGGGAAAACACTGTGGAGAGGAGCAGCTGGGAATGAGAATTTTTGTGCACTTGGGGCTGGTGGAACACGGGGTGGGTGGGAAATGGAATGGGAGACGTGGGAGTGGGAGCGGAGCCGCCGGGCAGCCGGGCTTGGAGTGGCATCAAAGTCGCTGCCAACACCCACGTGCCTGGCTGGGGCTGGGAGCAGCCTCTGCTCCGTGTCAGGAGTGAATGTGCCGTTTGTTCCCTCAACTGCAGACCTGGAAGGGCTGAAATTCCGGGTAAATTTGTGGCCTTTTGCTGTGGATTTTTTGTCTCCGTGCCGGGGTTGCGCTGAGCTGCTCCGGGATGTCCCCTCGCCCCTCCCCGTGGCCTTTCCCTGGATTTCTCTGTGCCTGTTCCGATGGAGAGCCGTGCCCTGGGGTGTTCTGGGATGCCCTGGGCTGCTGTGGGGTGCCCCTGGATGTTCTTGGATGCCATGGGGTGCTCTGGGATGCTCTGGGATGTTCTGGAGTGCTCTGGGATGGCCTGGAGTGCCCTGGGATGCTCTGGGATGTTCTGGAGTGCTCTGGGATGCCCTGGAGTGCCCTGGGATGCTCTGGGATGTTCTGGAGTGCTCTGGGATGCTCTGGGATGTTCTGGGATGCCTTAGGATGCCCTAGGATGGCCTGGAGTGCCCCTGGATGTTCTGGGCAGCTGTGGGATGCCCTTGGATGCTCTGGGGTGCCCTAGGATGTTCTGGGGAACTCTGGGATGTTCTGGGGTGCCCTGGGGTGCCCTGGGATGCTCTGGGGTGCCCTAGGATGTTCTGGGGAACTCTGGGATGCCCTGGGATGCTCTGGAGCCCCACCTCCCTGCCGGCTGTGTCCCTGTTCCTCCCGGGACAGGAGCTGGATCCAGTGCCAATCCTCGTGTCCCCCCCCTTTGTCCTTTGGTGTTTCTCGCTGTTGACGTCCCTGGGAGAGGGAAGAGCCCAATCCCCAATCCCCCATCCCCAATCCCCCATCCCCAATCCCCCAGCTGCTTCTGAGGGCCAGGAGCTCGACTTCCAGATTTTGGAAGTTCCCTTTTTTTTTTTTTTTTTTTTTTTTGGTTTTTGGTGTCCCAAGTCTGAGTGGTGCCATGTTTGTGTCGCAGAACGTGGAGTTCTTGGCTTGCTGTTGCACTACAAATTCCAAGTGTGCCACATGCTTCAATCCCCTGGTTTTTCTTTTCATTTTGGAAGTCCTTGTGCTCGTCTTCCGTTTTTGTTTTTTTTTTGTCCGCCCTGTCCCTTGTGTCACCTGTAACTGAAAGGAAACCCAAGTAATATATTTTTATATGTATAACAAATGACTTTATTTGAAGGGAAAAAAAAACCACAACAACAACCCCCACCCCAAGTAATGTATCCCCCTAAATCCAGCTTTCATTTAGGGAAGTGAGAGAAGAAATTGTTTATATCTATCTATCTATATATATATATATATATAAAAGTTAACTGCGTTAAGCTTTAAATAAAGTATTTAAATAAAGAGTTTCTAAGCTGTCAGTGTCACCCTTTGGGACAGCACAACTCCCTCGGGAGCCTCTGCAGGAACCTGCTGGAGCTGAGAAATGCAAAATCCCTTTTCCCTTTTTCCCCAGAAAGGAAAAAGAGGATGAAATGTTTTTCCCTTTCCGTGCAGGAGGAGCTGAGGGCCCTTTCCAGGTGGGTGAAATTCCAGGGAAGGTGCTGGGGTGGGATCTTTGTGCCTCGGGTGGCAGCAGCTCAGGGCTGGGGCTGTCCTTGGGCCACCACGTGTCCCTGAGGGTGGGGTGGAAGGGTCTGGAAGAGCTCCTGGGATCAGAGAATTCCTTCTGGAACTCCTTAAAAAAAAATCTGCCCAAAGCAGAGATCCTTTGAGGGTCGGTGTCAGAAAGCACAGAAAGTTTAAAACTCTCGGGGTTCCGCCAGGTGTGGGGTGACCTCGCTGTCCCCGGAGCTCAGGTGACAATTTTGGGATTCTCCTGGCTCAGTGTCGCAGCTTCCTCTAGTGGCCGTGGGGGAAAAGGTTCCAGAGGAGGATCCAGGTTTGGGTTGGGAATTGAGGGAATTCGAGCCCGTGTTTGGTTCTGTGATTTGGGGTATTTTTGTTTTTTTTTTTTTGCTGTGGCTGTTTTGTTTGGGTTGGGAGTGATTCCCCAATCTGCTGTATCCTTTATGGAACCTCGTAAAGGTGGATTTTTATGGATTTTTTTTTTTTTTAATTTTCCTTTGGGTCTGACACTTTCTGCTGGGCTTTCCCCATGGATTCACAGCTGCAGGTGCTGCTGGCTTGGATGAGAAACTGGATTGGGATCCCCAGTGATCCTTCCATGGAATAACCTCACCTCTGGTGGATACATCCATAAATCTGCCTTTGGATTTTCGGGATCCATCCCAGGCTCTGTGCATCCATCTGGTGCAGCTGGGAAGGTAAAACCATCCCAAACCTGCTCTGGAGTTTGTCCTGGAGCTGAGGGGATGCTCTGTCCTCTCCTCCTCTCTGTCCCAAGCTCAGATGGTTCTGCTCGGTGTTTTGGGAACTGGGAAATTCAGGAAGAAGCTGCTTCAGTGACATTTGCTGAGATTTTTGGCTCTCAAAAGAGGGCTCAGGCAGCAAAATGTGGGGAATTTGGGTGGTGGCTGAGCCCTGGGGGTGGGAGCTGGGCTGGAGGTTCCTGGGTCTGTGTGGCCCCACCTGTCCTCGCTGGGCTCCTTCCTCCACTTGGAATTGTAATTTTGGGATGTCTCAGGGGCTGAGCAGGGGGAATATCATTGCCTTGACCTTTCTAAGTGGTTCTTGTTGGAGTCTGAGTCCATCCATCAGATCTCTTCCCCTGGTGTTTCCTCCCTGGTGAATGCACAGATGGATCTTCCCCTTCCCCAAACCCCACTGATAGGAGCAGAACTTCTCCCACTGCTCCGTTGTCTTTTGTAGGAGGGTTTTTTTTTCTCTTTTAACCCATTTCAGGTGCCTGCTTTTCCCTCAGGGATCCCTGTGAGCTGTGCCTGCCTTACAGGGAGGGGAAAGGGGAGGTGGTGAAGGTGAAAGGATCGATATTTCTGCAGAGACGCTCCGATGTGTTTGTTATTTCTGAGGAATTCTCGGTTTTATTACCTCAGCTGTGCTGTTTACTGAGGAGAGAAACCAAACCAGGGCTGGCATTTCCAGCTCCCTGTTTTCTCATTGTCTCTCTGCGTGATGCTGCTCGGCCCTCCCAGGTGGAGGATCATTAACAGATGATCGTTAATTAACCCGTTTCCTAATTCCAGCCTCTGGGAGAGCTGTCCTCAGTCTTTCTGGGAATTTTGTTTTTTCCCCAAACTCGGCTGGTCTGGAAATGCTGCTCCCAGGCAGCAGAACGGGTTTGGGTTCCTGTTGGAGGCAAATTCATTAGTGAGAACCCTGGCAGCTTTGAAGTTGGCAATTACAGGCCGGGGGATGGAAAAGGCTCATTGTAAAGATGGGATCTGACTTGTTTTCCTTCCCGAAGTGAGTGGGATTTTTCCAGCTGAATGGTCCAGATGCCTCAGTGTCACCTCAAGCTCCTCCTGTGCCACTCCTCTGTCCTTGTCACCTTGGACACTGAACATTTCTGATGTGGCAGAGAGGCAAAAATGCTCTGGGGACTCACTGCTGTGAGGCAGAGGTTGCTGTGCAATTGTTCCCTTGGGATATTCCCACAGAAATGCAGGCAGGACCTCTCTGAAGAGCAGCTCTGTGACCTGGGGACGGCTCCTGGTTTGCCTTGAAGTGTGGAACTGAACAGAATAAATGGAATGGGATTTTTGTCCTGGCTGGTGACCCATGGGGACACCTTTACAAGACAATCCCTGGTGCTGCTTTCCCTCTTTGGGTCAGTTTGAAGCCATTTCCTTCGTCCTGTCTCTCCATCCCCTTGTCCAAAATCCCTCTCCAGCTCCCTTAGAGCCCTTTTAGGTTTTGATCATCAAGAAGTGGCTGATCCTCACCTGGTTTGGGAATTTAAATTCCTGACCCGGAGCCCCACCATTTATTTACAGTTTATTTTGCTCATAGGAAAAAGAGGAAATCTTTATTTTGATGGGATGGAAGCTGTTCCTGTGTACTGTGACCTCTGTTTTGGAAATAAAACACCAAAAGCAGGTCATGGCTTCATAAACACAGCTGCTCTGGGGGCAGAGAACCGTGGAATCCCAGACTGGTTTGGGGTGGAAGGAATTTAAAAATCTCATTCCACCCCTGCCATGGGCAGGGACACTTCCCTACTATCCCAGATTGCTCCCAGCCCCATCCAACCTGGCCTGGGACACTTCCAGGGGTGAGGCAGCTTCTCTGGGAATTCCATCCCATCCCATCCCATCCCATCCCCTCCCCACCCTCCCAGAGGAGAATTCCTTCCCAATATCCAACCTAAATTTCCTCACTTTCAGCCTGAACCCTTTCCCCCCTTGTCCCTCACTGCAGTTCCTGATGAGCAGCCCCTCTCCAGCTCCTGGTAGCCCCTCTGTAGCCGTGGAAAGGGGTTTTAACCCTTTAAGTGCAGCAGAAATAAGATGCACAGCTACATGGTCGTTTTTTATAATAGAAAAGAAAGAGCCAAGTTTATTCACAAACACACTTGGTTTTATAGCAGGACTGCAACTCCCAGAGTAGAGAAAAGGAGATTGGTTCAGAGAGAAGACACCCCATGGCCAGGGCCTGGGCACACACCACAACAGGGGTTCTATCTTGTTATTAATTCCTTTTTATTTTGACCAAATTATCATCCTGGGAGAAATTCTCCCTGGCCTTGAGCTGGACCAGCTCATGGGCTGGGAACAGAGCTGAGAAGCTCCAGCCTGGAATATTTTTCAGGCTGCAATTTTCTTACTTTCTTAAGATGTGTCCCACGCCTCTCTCCAGCTCCTGGTAGCCCCTCTCCAGCTCCTGGTAGCCCCTCCAGGTGCTGGAAGGGGCTGT